GCACTTCAGCGGTATTTCGGCGGGCAGGGGGTCCTTCAGTGCCGTGGAAGACCCGGAGCGCCGCCGGGTATTCGAATTGGGCCCCGCAGGTCCTAAAGCCGGCCCTGCTAGACACCCCAAGCACATTCCCAGCATCTTGGACAGTTATGTACTTGGGTTGGCTAGCCCATCCTGCCGCTTGCACTGTCACAGCTACACTCTATTTTTAGCATACTAACTTTATCAGAGCTAGTGTGGGTATGTCGCCATGAGCTAGAATTTATATCTTCAGCTCGACATTGTAGATATACCCTAAGTATATACCCTAACGTGCAAGCACCTGTGTGTTCTGGGACAGAACCATCATGTCTCAAGTCTAGAAAAATAGCCATCCAAAACTTTGTAGGCCACTCAACAAGACTCTCTTTAAAATTCCTGCAGTAGTCTGCAATAGTTACACCATCTACCATGCCAGCATTTTAACGTCTCCCTGATTCCTGTGTGTTTTTCTCATCTTTCAATAATCTCTTCATTAGTGTGATTAATCTTTTGGAAGTCAGGGTATTACATTCACCCAGTTAGTTCTCAAATACTAAGTTAGCAAGTCCTGTGTTGCAATCAAACATTGGGCCATTTCCATTAGCAACAGTTCATTGGGCCACACAGCTGGTCATGCTATTAAAACAAACCACGTTTCGATTTTGTCTGGTTCATGGTGTCATTTTCTCTCCATTCTCTTAGCTCATGCAACTTCATTCTTTCTCAGAGTGAAGGCTCAGAATACAAAGGTTAAATCACCCTCCTTCACCAGCAAATGGCCCATTATCACTGCATTTTTTATTAAGGTAAAGATTCTCCCCCACTGTTCACAAAAAGCTATTTTCACTTGGCTGTATAAATATTTGATGCAGGTCTGTTGGCAAAATGCTGCTGTAATGTTCTTGCTTGTGATTTAAATGAAGGGTATGGAAAAAGATTTCTTATTTTATCATGACAGCTATACTAGTGGGCAACAATTTTCCCACTGCTGTCTTTGAACTATTAAGCTACCTCATCTATGAAGCTAACCTTTATGTTGTTATTGTTTTTACTGAGTAAAACATACTGGCATAAACTCTACTTGGCGCGTGATCTGTGTGTTAGCCTTTGGCTGAGCTCTCTCTCTCTCTCTCACACACACACACTCAGCATAAGTGACAAGAATCCCAGCCACATTAGCTAATTATATCGGAAAATAACAGGCCAAATGCATCCCTGAGCCAACTCCACTGAGGTCAGTACAGCCACACTAGCAATGACTATTGTCCAGTGTGACCAGTGACGTCCCAAACATTTTGTTTTTCCAAGCAATTCTTCTATTTTTTAAAACATTGTAGATATTTTTTAAAAGTTCAAAAGTTGGAAATTCAGAGTTAAGGTAACAAGCAAATGTAGGAAAATTAAGAATTTAGAGGACTGTACATCAACAAAAAACTTAAACAACATCAAATCTGGAAATACTCATCTAAAGTATCAAACACCAGTATCAAACAAACTTAACTCTGACCCTCAGGGAGGTTACCAGTGGAGTTCCTCAGGGTTCGGTTTTGGGACCCATTTTATTTAATCTATTTATTACTGACCTCGGAACCG